AGAGAGAGAGAGAGAGAGAGAGAGAGAGAGAGAGAGAGAGAGAGAGAGAGAGAGAGAGAAGCCACCGGCAAAAGCGAAGACTGACTGTCACAAACCTTAAGCTGAAGGGTCTCCAGGAAGAGAGAGAGAGAGAGAGAGAGAGAGAGAGAGAGAGGAGCCGCCGGCAAAAGCGAAGGCTTACTGTCACAAACCTTAAACCTTAAGCTTTGGAAAAACACAATCCCTACTCTTTTTCATGTGCAGATTGACAGATAGGAAGTCACCCTTGTCCTTAACCCCAACAGCTCTTAGAATCCCCTTCCTGCAACACCCCAGCTCTGAATGTGCTAGGGCCCCTTCTGTGTGTTCTTTCTTGCCCAGCCTCCTGCTCTGGTCTTCTTAAGTGACCCAGAATAAGAGGCGTGGCTACATCCCCAACGGCGAGAAAAGGAGGAACCCCCAAACCACCCCAGAGGAAGCTGTAGACTCGGTCCAGCCCCGAGACCTCAATTCTTTCCCCTCTCACCGTCTTTTTCTCCACACATCAGGCAGCTCACGAAGGGGCAAGGGACCAAGCTCCCCAAGAAGCTCCCTCGTGCGGCGACCAGCTCTGGACCAGACAGGGCTGTGAGGGAGTGGGGTGGGGTCATGTGGCAGTACCCCCCCCCTCCCGCCTCCGGGGGCAGCGTCTCCTCCCCTCCTCCCCTCCACCCACTCCCGCCTTCCCCGCAGTTTCCTTTGCCTCTGTGTGCACTTCCTGCACCGGAGCGGGAGGGCACAGGTGAGAGGTGCTTGGTGGGCACCACGTGTACCTGCCTGCTCCCTTCCCCTCCCCTTCCCGCCCAGGCGTAGAGGACCCCGTTATCTGCCGTCTGCAGTCACCCTGGGAGAGCAGAGAGCGTGATAGTGACGTGTGGAGGGCCCCACAACACCCAGCTGCTGGCTCTCTAGAACCTGGCGTTATGTCTTTTCTTTTTTGTTATTCCAAGGCAGGGTCTCCCTGGTCGCTATGATTGTCCTGAAACTCACCAGGCTGGCCTTGAACTCACAGAGGTACCTGCCCAAGGCTGGGGTTAAAGGCCTGCACTCTTACTCCCGGCTGGGAGTATTTCTGAACTTGCTGCTCTCACGGCAGGCACTGCCCTCCCTTTATGGTATGCCCTGGCGCCAAGCCCAGCCTAAGTGCTCAGGAAGCGACTCGGAGCCATCACCGACTAGACCTTGAGGAGTCTTGGCCAGTTCCCAGTTCTGAGAGCTCTAGCCTTTCCTCACTGTTCACCTCCTTTAAGGCCTTCTCATCTTAGCTCTGGCTTCCCTGGGCCTCCCAGCGTCCCTGAGCAGTGGCTGTTATTCCACAAAGTTCATGCAGGAAGGCTTCCCAGGAAATGGCTTTCAAGCTGGGCCAGAAGCCATGTAAAATTCAGTGTTCAGAGCAATGGGGAGCTGAGGACGGTTGAGTCTGCAGGCCAGGGATGCCCCACCCAGCCCCACAGGGACAGTTGCTGAGAATTGTCACTGCCCCTTCCACTCCCCAGCTCAACCAGACCCTGTTATATCAGGCGTCACCACATCACTGTACCCCACACGCTTTTGTGGGGGCAGGGGCTCATTTTCCGTTTTATTTCCTTCTCATAATCACCCTGCCTGTCACATGGGGGAAGGGGCTCTATGGAGCATTCTGGTGGCCAAGTGCCCTGTTCCAGCTGGTGACACCGGGAGGCTGGTGGAACTTTCTCAGCCTCAATTTCCTCGTCTGTGAAATAGAAAGGCTAGCGTCTGGGACGGTGGGTACCGGAAGCGGCTTGAACTCTAGCTTCAGAAATAGACACCATGCCCAGGGCAAAGGAGGCGGTAACCCCTTTCCTCAGCGGGAGATGGGGATCAGTGAACCGAGGCTGGGAGGAGGGGATTACTCAATTCCTCGTGGAGTGGCTGAGGATTGGTAAGTAACCTCGGGACGTGAGTGGGCTTGGAAATACCGACCCATTTAGAAACTTGGAGAAACCGAGTCCTACAAAAATTAGGGGCTCCACCTAGGGATCTTATCTATCCAAATACTCGGCCGCGCCCACTTTGTTCAGACTTCAGGGTGGAGTCCAAAGCAGGCGGGCACAGGGCACTGTTTTGGATGGGCGGGACCTACTCGCAGGCGGGAGCAGATCATGTGACTTGCTGGGCCCGCTGCCACGTGGGCGGGTAGTGGGGCCACCTCTAGCTGCCAGCCTGGGAACCATCAAAGGTTGCCCCCTGGACCTTAATTACTGTCTGTTAATGACGTCTGCCGGTCAAGCCGAGACTGCGCGGTTGCCCGCGGCGGGTACGCGCACAGGTGAGCCACTTGGGGGAGCGGGGCTCCTCCGGTCCAGCTGGGCGCCTGGACCCGGGTGCAGGGTCGCAGCTCGGCTGTGGGCGCGGCTGCCCCGCCGGTGTGTGTGTGTGTGTGACACTTTGGCTGCGGGTTCCTGGGGGCTGCGGCTGCCGGCCTCTCCCGGTCTGGCTCTGGGCGCAGGATGGAAGTGCGTCCCGGAACTGCGCGCACCTGGCCGGCCCCGGGCGGGACTGAAAACCTGAGGCCCGAGCGGATCCGGACTCCGGGCCTGGAGCCTCAGAGAACTTCCAGCATCTTGTGGAGAAGAGGTGTGGGGTGGCCTGGGGTGGCTTGAGCCTGAGAAGTCTTGTGGCCAGGGAGGGGACCGGGAAACTAAGCGGGCACCACCTTGCCTGGCTGCTTTCCCTTGACTGACTCCAGGCTGGAGCAGCGCAGGCGGGGGCGTGCCTGGCGCGAATCGGGGTTTCGTGGGGACTCTCGGCCGTCGGGGGAGCTCTCCGAAAACTGCGAGTTCCCTAAGTGAAGACGGAGAGGGTTTGCTGACAGGGCTGAACCTGCCTTCTGGTGGGGGAGATCCTGCGGGAGTCAGGGGATTGGTTGCTCTTTCCGCCGCGCCCTCCCTTAGGGCCTTAGGTCAGGAGGACAATGAGCCCCTTACAACGCTCTGGTTACTTTGTGCCCGGTGACAGAGCCGGACAAAGGGAGCTTGTGTGGGCTCAGCTCCCTCCTCCAGCTTTACGCTGCGTTGGGAATGTAGGGAGGCACTCTCCCGTGGACACGAGAACCTCGGAGCGTCCAGACCCGAGTGTTGGGGGTGGGCTTCAAAGAGTCCTGTGTGCGGAGTGGGCGGTGCTAGGGGCAGGGCTTTGCGGCCGCCCGGCCGCGCTTCCTGCTCAAAAGAGCACTTTGGGGTCATAGGGCGGGCACAGGGAAGTCCTCTAAACTTCCCAGCCTTTTCTCTGAGAGAGTTGAAGCCCTAGGGCCACGCCTGAGAACTGACCTGAAGGGGTAGTGTTCACAGACTTTTCCCCGGGACTAGTGACATCTAGGAAGCTAACGGGGGAACTGCGCCTCACCCTTCCTTCCTGTTTGCTTTCCTTCCCCATAGCCGGTTACTGGTGAGAATGCCATTTGGGGCCGGTTAACCAAGTGTTTAGCTGTCGATGGGGGGCAGGGTGGAGATTCCTGTAGTGAGTAAGTGTGTGTGTGTGTGACTTAAGTATGGGCCCCCAGGGAATGGGTGCCAGGCATTGAAAGCTGGTTTTGTCTCAACAGATGGCCTGTTTGGGCTCCCATAGGCTGCGTCTAGTCTCTGAGCTCCCTTAGGCCTGCAGCTGGGCTGAGGGTGTACCACAGCCATGGCTCAGCCACTGACTTTAGTCCTCAATGTCCCAGAGACCACGGGGGACGAAGAGTAAGTACCCTGGTGCTGGTGGTCTGGGATGATGTGAAGTCTTCTGGGAGTGGGGGAGGACAGGAGCATGGGTTCCCACACGCCCCCCTCCCCGGCAGCCTGGAACCCAGCCCCTATGAAGAGAGCGAGGTGCACGACTCCTTCCACCGGCTCATTCAAGAGCAGAGTCTTCTGGTCGCCGAGGAGGGGCTGGAGCTGCTGCCCCAGGCTCCAGGTGAGCTCAGCCCTGCACTGTGACCTGGTGTGGGCAGGACCTGGGAATATCTGCCCTACATGCTACAGGCCCGGGTGAGGCAGCTGCAGTGTCTCCGTCCTTCCTAGACAGAGGTTACCAGACCCTCCGGAGGCCTGAAGGTGCCCCCACCCACAGCACGGCCACTCTCCGCATCTTGGCCAGCATGCCTAGTCGCACCATTGGTGAGTAGGACCCTCTGCCCTTGCTCTGACTTTGACGCCAGCCTAGGTGTCTGAACCTAGTTCCTCTGAGCTCCCAGCCTCCCTGTGCCTGGGGCCTGGAGCTCAGCACAGCCCTGTGCCACACTCAGCCCTGCTGGATTCTAAACATAACGGCGTTTGTCATGGGGTAAAAATAGGCTCTTGGGGCCAGATGACGGCGCATGCCTTTAATCCCAGCACTCAGGAGGCAGAGGAGGTGGATCTCTGAGTTTGAGGCCAGCCTGGTCTACAGAGTTCCAGGACAGCCAGGTTACACAGAGAAACTGTCTCAAAAACAAAGGCTCTTGGGTTTCTGGTAAAGGCATTTTCCCCAGCCCTGGGAAAGGCTAAAGGACAGGGAGGCCTGGTGCTAAGAACTGTCCAGAGGGATGTGAGGCCGGTCTAGCCTCTGCCATCTGCTACCCTGCCACCTGTTTTCCAAGGTCGCAGCCGCGGGGCCATCATCTCCGAGTACTACAACCGCACAGTGAGGCTGCGGCGCAGGAGTAGCCGGCCCCTGCTGGGGAACATGGTGCGCTCTGCCCGGCCCAGCCTTCGCCTGTATGACCTGGAGCTGGACCACACCATCTTGGAGGAGGATGGTAAGTGAACGACGCAACCTGCTACCTGAGGGCTGTATTAGGCGAATGCTTTACCACCCACTAGTCTGTGTCGCCAGCCCTTGCTGAGTGAAGACAGGGTCCAGTCCTGCCCATTGGCCTTGAATTCCGACCCTCCTGCTTCTGAAGGTCATTTATGTTTTGACTCAGAGTTAGGGAACTTCCCCCCACCGGCTGGCCCGCCTGCCTGATTTGTGGGGGCCGGAAGTGTGGCAACAGGTTTCTTTTCCTGTTGTGATAAATTGCTGTGCTAGAAGCAGCATAACAGAGCCAGGGCTTCCTCAGCTCACAGTTCGCACTGTGGTACAGGGTGGTGGGGTCGTCAAGGTGGCAGGAGCTCGAAGCCGCTGGTCCCCGGCATCCACAGTCGAGAATGAATGCCTGCTGGGGCTCAGCTCGTTTCCTCATTTTATATTGTCCAGGATCCCCTACCCAGGGAACATTCTTGTAACAGTTAAGGTGTGGCTTCCCACATTGATTAAAGTAACAGTATAACTCTTCACAGGCGTGCCCAGGGACCCACTTCAGGTGATTCTAGAGTCTGTCAAGTTGACACTTAACACTGACATCACAGCGGCCATGAGAGGAGGCAGTGTTAACCTGTCCCCGTTCCCTTGTGGCTTTGCTTATCTGTTAAAACAGGCTTATGACTCCTAATATGAGGGAGAACACCTGAGATTTTAAAAAAAAAAGCATTATTTATTTATTATGTATATAGTGTTCTGTCTGCATGTTTGCATGTAGGTCAGAAAGGGCACCAGATCCCATTATAGATGGTTGTGAGATACCATGTGGTTGCTGGAAATTGAACTCAGGACCTCTAGAAGAGCAGCCAGTGCTCTTAACCTCTGAGCCATCTCTCCAGCCCTCTCCCCCCACTCTGTATAAGGAGTCCCAGGGTAGCTTGATCAGGTCAGACCCTGCCCTCCATTCTACGAGGACTGACCACAGCTGGGAAGCACTGGCCTCGGGGATGCCAGGATCTGGTGGGGATGAGAGAAGGGGCTCCTGAGTTCGAGGGGTAGGAGGACGAGGGGCGAGGGTCCTGGAGGGTTGTGCTGGGTCAGCAGGAAGGATGCTGGGCACTGAGGGACCTTCTTCCTCTGGGCAGAGAAGCGGAGGCTGCTAGTGAAGGAGCTTCAGGGTCTGTCGGTGGCCCAGCGGGACCACATGGTCCGGAACATGCCTTTGAGCCTGGGTGAGAAGCGCTGGCTTCGGTGAGTGCCCCATGGCCCCAGCGGGCCTCCCTGAGTCAGGAGGCAGCCACAGTCCTCTGTAATCTAGGCATTTATGGTCTAGGCATTGTCTTTGTCCCCAGAGAGAATAGTTGGAGCCCAAAGGGAAAGAGGAGGGGCCAGCAGGACCGAGGTGGGGCCTTCTCCTGCTGCAGCAGGCTCAGATACAGCTGCATTCTGGTACGAGCTCTGAACTGTGAGGTCTGCTGTGGGTGTGGCTGACTGGGGTGGGGGACACCCTATCCTGTTGCTGTCCTACCAAGGGACTTTTAGCTCTACTTTTTTCCTGGGGCTGGGCATGATCTGGGTGGACCTGCCCTCAGAACTGACCTGCAGCTGTTCCTCCAGGCTCTGCACAGCCTGGGGCTGGTGCTGGTCTCAGGACTGTATGCTGCCAGGCCATGGCGCTATGCTCTGAAGCAGATTGGCGGCCAGTTTGGCTCCAGCGTCCTCTCCTACTTCATCTTCCTCAAGACCTTATTGGCCTTCAATGTGCTGATGTTGCTGCCTTTGCTGGGCTTCCTCGTGGGTGTGCAGGCTGCCTTCCCGCCTGACCCACCAGACCCGGTCCCTACCTGCTCTGGTCTAGAACTCCTCACAGGCAGGGTAAGGTCTTCAGCTCCCGCCGTGCCCTCCTGTGCCCGTCCTGTCCCAGTGTCTCTGGTGGGATCCTGCCTGTTCCTAGATGTCCCTATGAGTGGCTTCCCCTCCTTCTGGAGGCCTCAGGGAAGGCTAGGGCAGTGCATTGGTTCTCAACCTGTGGGTCGCAACAACCCCTTTGGGGATTGCATATCAGGTGTCCTGATTATCAGATACATTACAATTCATAATAGTAGCAAAATTAAAGTTGTGTATCGACGAATTAATTTTATGGCTGGCGGTCACCACATGAACTGAATTAAAGGATCACAGCATCAGGGAGTCTGAGAACCACTGGGCTTGGTGGGAAGGGAGGATCCCTGACTCTACTTGACCTCCTGACAGGGCTGCTTCACGCACACCGTCATGTACTACGGCTACTACAGTAACAGCACGCTGAGCCAGTCATGTGACTCCTCACGGGACAGTGGCCGGTGCAGCCCCGGGTCGGGCAGCCTGCCCTATAACATGCCGCTGGCCTACCTCTTCACGGTGGGGGCCGCCTTCTTCATTACCTGCATCACTCTGGTGTACAGGTACTGACCAACCACGTGGCCCTTGCTCTGAGCCCCATTCTTGCGCCCATTAGTCCTCCATCTGTACCTAGTTCCTTGTCTGCCCACCCACCTGTCCGTCCCCACATCTACCTACTCATGTTCCCACCGATCAATCCATCTACCCACCTTCTAGCCATCTCTCTTGATCAGTTTTTTCTCCTATGTACCTACTCATCCTCCCACTCACACCCATTCATTCATCAACCTGCCTGTCCATCTGTCCACCCACTTATCCATCTAACCATCCTCATCCCCCATTTATTAGCGCTTTCTTCTGTCAGTCCATCCATCCGTCTATCCACCCATTTGCCCACCTACCTGCCGGCCAACCCACTTACCAGTCTATCCACCCACCCACGCATCCACCTACCCACCCATCCACCTACCTACTCATCCACCCATCTTCCCGTCCCTCCTGTTCACTTCCTGCCTGTCTCTGCTGCTTGCTAGCATGTCCCACTCCTTTGGGGAAAGTTATCGGGTCGGCAGCACCAAAGGCATCCATGCTCTTACGGTCTTCTGCTCCTGGGACTACAAGGTGACTCAGAAGCGGGCCTCCCGTGTGCAGCAGGACAGCATCTGCACCCAGCTGAAGGTAAGCAGCTACCTACCCAGACCTGGCCCTGCAGACCTGGCCTGGATCCTCTCCAGACACTGGACTGGTGTCTGCGAGCTGGTGGTCCTCCCCACAGTGTCCAGGCAGGTCTGATGCTCCTGCCCCCTCGAGCTCCAGGGACACGAAGGGGCTGGAGTTACAGAAACTGCTCCAGTGTGCTTAGGCTTGGGCCAGGAGGACAGGGGTCCCTCTCTGTGTGACACTCTGTCCTCATATCCTGAAGCATCAGCTGCAGCTAAGAATGACTCCTCAATAGTCATTTAATCACTGCGGTAGCCAGGGGCTTAGGACTACAGGGGAAACTGCAGCATTGAGCTCAGATCCTTCCTGCAAGGTTCAGGGTCCCAGGGCCAACTGGGCTTCATGGGAATGCTCTACCTTTCTGGGTTTCATGCTGTTGTGACTCATGGGAGTTTCTACTGGGGACAGGTGTCCTCATCCTGGGGGCTCTGGTTGTAATGGGGCGAAGGCCACAGGCTAGGCACTGAGGATATCTGGAGACTAGGCTATGGCGAAGGGATGAGAAAGGGCCCCACGGCGGCAGCCATCCTGCTTTCGCTGAGTCTCAGCAGAGGCAGGCGTGGCCTGGGCCTCTCTAGGGAAGGGAGGGACTTGGGCAATCTGCCTTGTGTGTTGGGATCCAGTGATAGGGACATGCTACCTGGCATCTGCAGGAGTTGCTGGCTGTGTGGCAACTGCAGAAGCACCCCCGGAGTGCATGCGGGCAGCTGTGGCAGGCTGCCATGCTAGCTGTGGGAGGGCTGCTGTGTCTGGGCACCACGGTGGGCTGTGCAGCGGCTGTCTTCACCTTTTCAGAGGTCATGATGCAGGTAAGGCAAGGGACAGACCATCCCGGGGCTGAGACTCCCACAACCCCACTAGGCCCATGGTTCTCATGCTCCTTCTTGGTTCCTGTGTCTTTGGAACTGAAGCCTGGGGCAAGCTGCATGTCTTGGAGGGAGGTGCTACATGCATGTTGCTCCCATCTTCCAGCCAGACCCTTCCTGTAGTGCCTGCTCCCACAGGACAACAGTGAACATGTCCCCATGTGTCTTTTCTGATGGAGTCCTCTCTCTGTCCTCATAGCGCGGCCAGGGGGTGGAGCTGCTGGCCCTGCCCCTGGTGGTCAGTGCCCTTAATCTGGGTGCCTCCTACCTGTTCTGTGGCCTGGCTACTCTGGAGCGACATGACTCCCCTGTGTTGGAGGTATACATGGCCATCTGCAGGTATGTGGCCTGGAGCATGAGCTGGTGGGTAGGGCTTCTTGGAGCATCCCCCTGAGCCTTCACAACCTCTCCCTGTACAGGAGTCTCATTCTGAAGACGGCTGTCCTGGGCGTGCTTTGCTATCACTGGCTGGGCCGCAGGGTGGCTACACTGCAGGACGGGTGCTGGGAGAACTTTGTGGGCCAGGAGCTGTACCGCTTCCTGGTCGTGGATTTCATCTTCACGCTCTTGGACTCCCTTTTCGGGGAGCTGGTGTGGAGGTGAGGAGGCTCCACCTAGCCCTCCCATCCTGCCCTCAGTCTGTCAGGGACAGGTGGGGAAAGTTGATGTGTGCTCGCTACCCCCACCAGCCCGTGAGGGTGGTGGGTGGCAGGATGTCGGGTAATTTCAGATCGGAAAAAAAAATGGTTTCAGTGTTGCTCAGAGACAGGAAGAGAGAGGGGAGGGGGTGTTGTTAGAATGTGATGTCTTGGGGTCTGGCTTTTTGAGTGCTCTTTGAGTCCTTTTGTGTTTTCTTTGAGAATACAGGGCTTTAATGGTAGTTGAAAAGCAAGGTATTTTTTTTTTTCAAACTTTTTTTTTTTTTTTGGTTTTTTCGAGACAAGGTTTCTCTGTAGCTTTGGAGCCTGTCCTGGAACTAGCTCTTGTAGTCCAGGCTGGTCTCGAACTCCCAGAGATCTGCCTGCCTCTGCCTCCCGAGTGCTGGGATTAAAGGCGTGCAGCATCACCACCCAGCTCAAACTTTTCTTACACATTTATTTAGTGTGTTTTTGTGCATGTGTGTGCATGTGTGCTGGGGAATGTGGAGATCGGTTCTCTCTCCTAACCATGTGGGTCTTGGGGATTGAGCTCAGGGCATTGGGTTTGGCAGTAAGCATGTTTACCTACCTGCCTAGCCATTTTACCAGCCCCCCCCCACCCTTTTCATTAGAGGTAAATCTTGATGAGTTGCCTCTGCTAGCTTGAACTTCCTTCTTCCTCACCTTTCTGAGCAGCTGAGCTGCCCGACCCACAAGTCCTTGTTTGTTTTGAGATAAGGTCTCTAAGTAGTCCCAGCTGGCCTGGAGTTCCCTACACAGACCAAGCTGGCCTCAAACTCAGAAATCCCCCTGCCTCAGCTTCCTGAGAATTATTTCAGTCATGCACCGCCTTGTCCATTCCAGTTTGTTCTGTTTTAAAGCACTACAACACTCGATGCTGTTGAGATTGGTGTCTCTTAGAGAAGGGGCTCAGAGGAGCTTGAGTGGTTGTGATGGCCCTGTCTCTCTTGACGTTTGCTGGGTGCTGGCTTGCACTGGTGCAGGTGGCCCCTGCCTGGTGCCCTGGGGATAAGGGTCTCCCTGCCCATCTCTCAGGGACTCCTCTGTCCAGGCTCATCTCCGAGAAGAAGCTCAAGAGGAGGCAGAAGCCCGAGTTTGATATTGCTAGGAATGTTCTGGACCTGATTTACGGGCAGACGCTGACCTGGTGAGAGTTTCTCATCTGCATCCCACTGGCTGTCAGCCACCACCTTCCTTCCCTGGGCCGCAGCCTTTTGGTTCTGGGTGGGTGGCTCAGGTTGGGAAGACACTTACTAGCCCTGCCTGCTGCCACCATCCCTAGGCTGGGTGTCCTGTTCTCACCGCTCCTGCCCGCAGTGCAGATACTCCGGCTGCTGTTCCTTTTCTATGTCAAAAAGGTAATGTGAGCCAAGAGTCGTGGCAGGCACTTGTAATCCCAGAATTCCCAGCAGTTGGGAGGCAGAGGCAGGCAGTCTCTTATTTGATGGCCAGCCTGGTCTACAGAGCAAGTTCCAGAACAGTTGAGGCTTAAAAAAAAAAAAAGGAAAGACAGAAACTTGGGCCTGCTGCTACCCTGGGCTGCCCCTCCCTGGCAGTCCTATCTTAGGCAGGCTGGAGACATCTGCTGGTTCCCCAGTCCTTTGGGAGTGACTCTGAGTCCTTCTCAGTTGGTGTGCTCAGGGGCTGACAGCCAGGACCTTGGTCCCACTGGCTCTGGCCCTCCACACTGGGGCTGGTGTAGTCACCAGGCTGATGTGGGCAGCACAGATCTGGAGTGCAATCTCTGCTTGTCCTGACTAGGAATTTACACCACTCACAGGGGTGCCTGGACGCTTTCCTCCCTGGTGACGCTAGACCAGTCAGGCTGACGAGCCACATTAATCATAATCTTAGAAGAGGAGGAGGGGGAAAGGTGCTTGGGGGAAGGGCATGGTGACCTTGGCAGAGTGAAAATCAGTCTTTGTCCCTAGGCAAGCCTGATGGCCAACTGCCAGGCCCCTCGCAGGCCTTGGCTGGCATCACACATGAGCACCGTCTTCCTCACCCTGCTCTGCTTCCCGTCGTTCCTGGGCACAGCTGTTTTTCTCTGCTATGCTGTCTGGCAGTGAGTGGAGGGCCTAGTTCTTTGGCTTTGGGGTGACACAGGAACGTTGTCCTGGCTGAGAGCGGGACTGCTGCCTCAGGGTCTCGTCCCTCTCTTCTCCAGGGTGAAGCCCTCAAGCACTTGTGGCCCCTTCCGAACTCTGACTACCATGTATGAGGCAGGCACGGTCTGGGTGCGTCGTCTGGAGCGTGCTGGCTCCAGGGGCTCCTGGCTGCCCTGGCTGCACCACCTCCTGGTGGAGAATACTTTCTTCCTTTTCCTGGTGTCGGCCCTGTTACTGTGAGTTCGCAGGTGGGGGCTGGCCTAAGGTGGTGCCCTAAGCTGCTCTGGCCTAGCCTTCAGCCTGAGCCCCCATTTCCTCAGGGCTGTCATCTACCTCAACATCCAGGTGGTGAAAGGGCAAAGGAAGGTCATTTGCCTGCTCAAGGAACAGATCCGGAATGTAAGTCCTACCTGTGTGGTTTCTGGGTCTGGTCACCTGTCCACCTAGCTTCTGGGGTTCCCCTTGGCACACCTGTGCTTGTTCTATTGCTTTTAGAGATAGGATTTCCCTCTGTAGCCCAGGTTGTCCTGTATACTGAGGATGACGTTGAATGGATTTACGGTCTCTCTCTTGTTTATGTGGTACCAGGTATTGCACCCAGGACCCTCTGTGTGCTAGGCAAGCACTCCACCAGCTGAGCTACATTTCCACTCTTTTTTTTTTTGATAGGGTTTCTCTGTGTAGTCCTGTCCTAGAACTTGCTTTGTAGACCAGGCTGGCCTCAAACTCAAGAGTTCTACCTGCCTCTGCCTCTTGAGTGCTGGAATTAAAGGTGTACATTCTGACTAAATTTTTAGATTTTATTTTTAGTCATTGTGTGTGGAGTTGGTTCTCCCACTTCTTTGTGGGTTCTGCTGTCATAAGACACTTTTTCAGGGTGACTTCTGCTAGGCTTCTTGTCGCAGCGGGGAGCTTTTCTGCAGATCCATCTCCACCGCCCTGGTTTTTGAGATAGGGTCTTATTTTAATCTCAAAGTGATCCTCCTGTCTAAGGTGCTTGAGTACTGAGACTAGTGGGAGCCACTTCTCTTGACTGGGTTAAGCAGAGAGCAGGCAGGAAGTGGTCAGGCCTGGGGATGGAGTTGGCAGGTAGCCTGCTGTCTGCTTTAGGTGTGGGAAATACTGGGCTCACACGCTTTTCTCATGACTAGGTATTTCTGTGTATGCACATGGGCTGTCAGCTGGGATCAGGACTAAAAACATTGTTAAGGAGACAGTATAAGACAGGTGTGGTGCATGCCTGAAATTGCAGCAACTGAGCTGGTTTAAGGTCATCCCCAGTTAGCTGAATCTGAGACCAGCCTGGGTTTCATGAGACCCTTTCTCAAGGGAAAAAGAAAGGGGGTGGGGTAGGAAGACAACCTGTCTAGGGCAGAGGCGGAGCCTGTGTAAGTCTAGCTCATGGCTTTCTTCTCTTTACCTTCATTGCTAGGCTTGGATCACAAATATCCTTTGACCTTTTTGATTTTTGAGGCATGGCTTTACCATGTAGCCCCTGCCTAAAATGGATTTTGCTCCAAAGCCAAAGCCCAGGCCTCCCTCACAGAGATCTGCCTGCCTCTACCTCCTGGGATAGAAGGTGTGGGCCACCATGCCTGGGCCCCTTTGACCTCTTAACTCTGTTCCTTGTGATGTTGAACTTCCTACATGAGCTCCACAGAAGTCCAGAACAGGCCAACTCTAGGGTGGAGTGATGAACAACTCTGTTGTCTCATGCTGTGCTCTGGCCTTTCCAGGAGGGAGAGGACAAGATCTTCCTGATCAACAAGCTTCACTCTGTTTACGAGGGGGAGCAGAACAGGTGATGGAGAGGCCCATGGGAGGGGCAGGAGGGTGGTGTGAAGTGGCACTGCCCCATTGCAGTAGTGAGGTACTCTGGGGCTCCAGGAGTCAGCTCCTGGCTTGCCTCACCCTCTGCTCTAGAGCCTTCAACCTGGAAGGCCTGATATGAAACATCAGGGGCTCAGAGCATCCACTGAGCCCAGCCACACAGGTTAGAGGGGTTTCTCATTGGTTTGGTCACCCTGATTCTCCTTTCTGGCAGGCCTGGCAGAACCGAGGAGGCCACTACATTATCTGCCCAGTTTGTGGATGGAGGGGACAGTCACCATGACCCTGCAGGCAGAGACTTGGACACAGCAGTAGAATAACTTTCCTCGTCACCGACTCCTCGAGGTGATGGCCAAGCAAGGATGTGGGGCTACTCTGTCCTACCTGGGACTCCCTTCCCCTAGGTTCTTCAATTTATTTATTTTGAAGACAGGATCTATCCACACAGCCTTGGCTGTCCTGAGTTCACTATGTACAACAGGCTGGCCTTGATCTGCCTGCCAAGTACTGGAATCAAAGGCACGTGCCACCACACCTGGCTTTACCCAACTTTTTTTTTTTTTTTTTTTTTTTTGTTTTTCGAGACAGGGTTTCTCTGTGGTTTTGGAGCCTGTCCTGGAACTAGCTCTGTAGACCAGGCTGGTCTCGAACTCACAGAGATCCACCTGCCTCTGCCTCCCGAGTGCTGGGATTCAAGGCGTGCGCCACCATCGCCCGGCCCAACTGTTTTTTTTTCTAATTAACTGTTTTTTATTCTAATTAAATGGGTTTTGCAATCTGGATTTGTTTTGGGATAGGCTCGTGACCTGCTCCTGCCAGGTACATGTAGGTGCTTGGGACCCACAAGCCTTCCATGGGAACCTCAGGACTTGGGGCTCAGTCAAGGTCATCTTCTAGCAAAGGGGAAGTGGCCACATTTTCCTGAGCAAGATCAAAGGCCTGGCTATGTGCCCAGGGTGAAAAACTGATCAGTGGTGATGTTATGTGGGCAAAGGAAGGGGGCATATTTAGGGAAGGACTCCCATATTTAGGGATGACTCAATGCTATGGGTTAAGAAGCCCCTTGGTTCACCCATCAGCACCCAGTCTAAGGTGGATGGTGTGGGGTGAGATGCCCTGGGTGAACTGAGCTACAGGAGCTTGTAGGTTTTACTCCTGAGACTCAACATAGCATCCTTCAAGTCTGAATGACCTTCAGTAGGTGCAGTTTTTTGGGGGGAGTCACCCTGGGTCAGGACAAAATAGCAGTGCTGGGCCCACTTGTCCCCATGGGTGTCTCAGCTGTCACAGCTGGATGGTACTGTATCTCCAGTCCCTGTGGGCCCTGCATTAAATGAAGATATCAGTTCTGTCTCACAAAGTCAGGATGCACCACTGAGAAGGAGAACATACCCAGGGAGTTTTCACAGAATCACCAGCACTGCCTTCCGTGGGGTGTGACACAAGGATCCAGGCAATGCCTGAGAGCAGCAGAGGCTGTCAGCACCCCAGCCGACCATGCTTTTTGTCTACAACCTCCATTCCTTACCTTGGGATGGGGCTCTAGGGTTCCTGGGAGTGCTTAGCATCAGGGGCTCTACCACAAAGCCACCCCCCACTGGTGTTTGTAGGAAAGGGAGGGAAGATGAGTTTGCTGTAACTGGCAAATGCAATCAACTCCAGACTGGGAAACTGTAAACTTCTGTTTAGCAGGTCGTAGCATTTCAGTGAATACAGAGCTCATGTAGCCCATGCTAGGCAAGGATAACTGCAGTCCTGATCCTCTTGCCTGCACTCCCTAATGCTGGCATTGCAGCCGTGCGTTCCTGTCACCTCTGCTTCTTGACCTTGGCTGCACAGGGGAGCACACAGGCTTTGAAACCACCTGGGCCTCTGCTCTCCTTAAGGAATACTCAGACCAAGCACTATGATTTTGAAGATTTCTGGGTGCAATCTAGCACCATCTGTCATAGGTGGACACCTAAGCTGAAGGCTGTTCACAAGGATGGATGGGGTTGACAGATGAGCTTGTGAGGACACCTTTATCAGCAGTGACTCCGAAAAGCACTGGCTCACAAGGGCACTTGTCACCCTGGCCGCACAGAAGCTTCTTGGGATATAACCCTTGCTGCCAACGTCTGTCTGCTTCATTCATCGCAGGCCCCACAGTAGCTCCCACCGTGGCTTGGGTCCCAGTCGGGCTTGCCCACCTCCACGGGCATTCTCTTCTGTCAGGCACACCACCTTGGCTGGGCATCCTGCCTTCTGCTGTCACTGCTGTGCCACAGTCTCGTCAGAACAGTGTGGTGCTAGGGCAGCTCCAAACCTACTGCTTCCTGGATCTGACATAAGGCCTACTTCATCCAATCCAATCCCATGAGGTTTCTTCCACTGGTTCTCATTCTGCTCCTCATCAAAATCCAACATGGCTTCGATGGCCGGGCCGGGTGCCACCTCCACAAACCTGTTCACTCCCTGGCTGTCTTGAAGGCACTGGAAGGCTGACAACAGCATCTGACTGACAGGGAGCCTCCTCTAAGCCACTGCTTCTTTACTACAGGAGACAAAAACACAGCAGCTCCAAGGCTAGCCGTAGTCTGCTCTTCTGCTGAAGCTCTGGTCAGCTGAGCTGGAGGTTGCTGGAAGGCCAAGGGCAGCTTGAAATCCTGAGTCTCACTCTTCCCTCTGGATTCCCATGAGGCCAGGACCCCATGGGTGATTTCCTCAGCAGAGCTACCAGCTCTCCTCCTCAGCACATGGTGGGCCAACAATAGCGTTTGAGAGCTGACCTAGTGCCACCCATGAGCCCTAGGGCAACAATGCCTCTGTTTTGTGCATTTTAGCCAATAGGTCTTAGGGGCAGAGATCAATAAAACACTTAGAAAGCACATTCATGCCCCCCTTTTTTTTCTGAGTTGGGACCTTGTTGCATGACCTGTGGACTCAGGCAGTGCTACTCCTCAGCCTCCTGGGTCCAGGCACATAACCACCGTGATTTTTCCAGATAGCACTGGGGATGGAGCCCAGTACCTTGTGCCTACACACAAAAGCCCAGCCTCTCTGGTTTCTTTTTAAACGCCTGTACTGGACATGTGACAAAGTATGGGTGGCAGTTCTGGGAAAACCTGCAGCCTGGGTTTACTGGTCTTCAGATGCATCCAATTCAGTCAGGCCAGGGGGACTTAGAAGCTGTTGTCTCTCAGTGGCTACTGACAGACTCCACATATTCTTAGCAAAACCAAAGCAATGCCTCAAGTCAAACAGCCAAGACTGAGTTTAGCCAGGAATGAAGGCCAAATCAGCAGAAAGTGAAAAAGGAAGTCCCTGCCTCTCACAGATAGATAATGACCCAGCAAGAGTGAATAGCCAAGAAAAACCGCAGTTTATTAAGACTCAACAAAGCGCTGTATTTTTAAAAGCAACCTCTGGTGTGCGTCCAACCACCACATTCCATGAGGAGGGGCACTAAGCGCCACAAATGTTTTTTCTTTTAAGAGTCAGAGACATTTTAAATTCAAAAGATTCAAAAAAAAAAAAAAAAGAAAAAAAAAAGGGGGGGCACAAAGATTGAAAACATCCTTTACTTCATCCCCAATTTTAAAACATTAGGAGTTTTTCTATAACTCAGTGCTAAATGGCAGCATGGCAAGCTGTAGGTCTGGAGCACACGCACGCACACGCACGTATTTGATATACATACATCAAATATCTAGGACGCACGTGATGGTGATGAGATGCAGTCACTCAGGAGTCCGTTCCGGGGGATACATGATGAACTCAGTTGTGCATAGCTCACGATCCTCTAGAGAACCAGCGTTTCTCTGCGGTCCTGCAGGACTTGCTTTCTTCCTTGTTTTGATAAAACTATTAAAAAGCTAATTAAAAAATGTAATGCACAAGTTTCCTTACCACATAGGCAGGGAGTACAATGTTCATATATTTTTTTAAAACATACTTGAGGGTGTGTTATTTCATTGTCTTTCTTCCTTGCAAAACAATCAAAACATTGATCATCTTTAAAACATAAAGCAATTTTTAATATATAAAGCACTCTTCAAACATCTATTTCTTTTGAGTCCATTATTTGGTAAATATGTAACTGCTACACATTAGAGATTAGGTATTTTTCTTCTTTGTGTGTTTTTTTCTGTTTTTTTTTCCTTTTTCTTTTTTTTCTTTGTTTTCTTTTTTCTTTTTTTTTAAATAACATCTTCAGTGCTAGGAGTTGGGTTTAAAAATACATGAAATGGTGTGGAGCTGCCCCCGGGAGCCCTGGCTTTCCTGAGAGCTAGCCGGCATGTGCAAGACAGAGACCACAATGCCTCATCACCTTGAGGAAGGGTGAAGACAATTGATAGAGTCCATGATGGCTGGAGGGAACAGCACGCCCCATCCCAGAGCTCTGAAGTAACACATCTGTATTCTGAAAATAGGTTTTTGTTTGCTTGTTTTTTTTTTTCCTTTTTTAAAGATGGAAGTCTTTTTTTTATTCCTTTTAAATTTTTTAAATTTTTTTTTTAAATTTTATTTTAAAGTCTGAAGGAGAAAAAAGGTCTGTAAACAGGTGGGAGCCCAAAGCACAGCTCCTCCAAAAGCAGTCACAACCCATGTCCAAGTGCTTGTCCCCGCTCCTTGCGGGACACCCATTCTCTACAAGTATCTATGGCCACAGTTCAACAACAGTTTTGTTTTTCTCTTTAACTTTATATTCCAGATGGGAAATGGTGCAATACTCTGGTAATAATCTTCTTGCATTAGTCCACAATGAAAAGCTGCTAAAGGTAGATAGACATATTATTCTCCAGAGATATACACTGTAACTTTAAATGCAATAACAGAGTCCTTGAGTAAACATTTACACATGAATTGTCACCAGCCCTGTCCCGCGTTCTCTTTACTGTTTAGGATTAGCTGAAGGAAGGGCAGGGACACCTCAGTGCAAAGTTAGAAGCGAACAACAATGAGAACATTTGACCAATGCGCAAAAAAAAAAAAAAGAAAAAGAAAAAGAAAAAAAAAGCATATACTGAATAAAAGGGAAACCCACAGTTAAATCCCTCACTCACTCTCAAACACGCATACAATAAACGCTAACCGTGCAAGCACGCACACGCACTGTTCCACAAGCACACACGCACATGTAGGCTATGACGTGGACATTTCCTAGAGCCTGTTTCTGTGCACAGATGTCAACGTGGAAGTGTTCACATTTAGGTATTGGCCTGCTGGGTTCAAGTATTTGCATGTCTGATATGTCTTTTTTTTTTTAACTTTTTAAAAATAATTTTTTGGGATAAAAAAAATGACATGAAAAAGTAATGAAACAAGGGTAAATGTGCATAGGCGGATCCTGGGGGACAGAGCATTAGCCACGCCTCAGCTCTGTGCCTGCACAACGCAGCTGCCCGCCCGCCCGCCGCCTCTGGTAATGTGCATAATCGTCACAGGCTCACTTTAAATAGGCTTCAAGTCTCCCCCACCCCGCCATAAAATAACCCTTTCCAGCCCACAGTCTGAAAAGTGCCCTTCATGATAAAACTATTCTAAGCAGCTTTTATACTTAAAACGCAAAATGACAACACACCGTACAAACATAAGACGACATAAAATAAAAAGCTATGAGGAACATCCTGTCGTTAGCACGTGACACTGACCAAACGCAGCCCGCACTGTCTTCAACAGTTCGCAAGGGCTGAGGCCAAGGTTCATCTTCAGAACTGGACAGAGGTACTCGAAGGGGCAGCTTATCCATCAGCTGGAGCCTCAGAGCCGTGCCTGGCATGGTCAGCTCTCTCCTCCCTGATGAAGGTGACCCCTAGATGGACTCGCCGCTGAGCAGGTCCCCAGGCAGCAAAGTGTTGAGAGGTGTGGGGCTGCCAATCACCCTGGCATCATCAGCACTGGGAGGGCCCCAGAGACTGCTGGAGTACTGGGGCACCCCACCCCACAGCAGTTCACTGCTGCCTTTGCCGCTCAGGCACGGGGTGTTCCAGTGGGCAGCGTCGCTGCGCACTAGGCCATGGGTGCTGCCCGAGGAGCCCAGCCTGGGCTGGCTGCCCCCGCTGCTAGATTGCCAGCTGGAGGTGGGTGGGAGGGCTTGGCCTTGGGCCAGGAACCGGTTCACTTCTTCTTCACCAGCAAACTCAGCCAAGATGGTGGTGTTTCCCAGTACACACCTAGAAGGCAAGAGGCTGGGTAAGTGTGTCATTCTGAGTCCTGAGTCTGTGTTACCAGGAAAGACAGACAAAAATATCATCATGCCACAGGCTATCACGACGACCTAGCCTTGTGGCCATGTTGTCACTGTTAACTCTAAGCTAGATAATGAATTTGGCAGCCACGGAGGATTGATGTGTGGAGTACATGTTTAAGTGTGCTGTATGGTAGGGGTGGGGGTTCAGCTGGCATCAGTGTCCCCCACCTCTGGTGATACTCCAGAGCAGGTCTTTTTGTATTCTGCATGGAAAGCACCCTCAAGCGGGCAGTGGGCTGCTGTAGTCCTGGAGCCTGGGTAACTAGAAGCTCCTTTTGGACTTTTCCAAGGGAACACAAAACAAACCCAGTGACTCTGTGGAGACACAGGAAGAAGATGGCTGTCTACAAGCTGAAGAGCTAAGCCAGAGGAATCAAGTCTGTCCATATTTTTTGATCTTGGATTTCCAAGATCAGGGCTAGGAAAGGACAGAGTTCTGCCCAGGGCACCACCTGTGCAGCAGTGTGGGGTGGCACCATAACACTCGCTCCCCCATCTAACAACACTGGGCACTGGTGGCTACTCAGCAGTGAGGGGACTGAGGAAAAAAACATACATGTGCAGAGACTTTTGGGCCTTGGCGGCTTCTTCCTTGGAGCTGTAACGGACCACAGCATTGCCTTGGGTCAGATTCAGGTGGAATGTGATGAGAGGCCCATGCTGCAAACACAGCGTCCGCAGTGTAGAACCGTCAATCTGAGGAGGAAGCAAAGGGCAGAACACGCGTTCCTTCAAGCTCTTGCTGTGTTCTGCAATAGCAGTATGGAAACTGGGTGAACTGCATACCAGAACAGACTTCCATTGACAGGCTAGTGACAGCAACTACCACTGGAAGGTGCCTTTGTGGCCAGGCATCTGCAATGTAGGCTACTCCAGTCAGAGGCAAGGGCCAAAGTTCCATTTTGAGTTCTGCAGTTTGCAAAAGGTATAGCAGCAGCTTGGTAGTCTTGAGGTGACAGGCTAGTTCTGTGACAGAGAATGGTGCCTACAAGCTGACATATGCCTGAGGTGGCCAAATCCCCTTGAATGGATGTGTAAGATAAAGGTTCTCTTTATAAAAGTATGTTTTTCAGATTTTGAAGGGCAACTAAGTCACCAGGAGCATGGCTGAGAAGTGCCTGGCTGTGTCTGCCCACACTCACCTGTCATTCATACTTGCCTCAGCGACTCGAGGCTCTGAAGGAAGATGCCTGCCTGACCACAGGTACCTGCTCCAGGGGTAGAGCAGGTACCTTTTGGCCATAAGCAACTACTCATGGATATGACATGACAGCCCCCGACCTGGCAGCACTTTTACCTGGGGTGTGAGGTTGCGCAGAACGAGCCAGCTGCTTGTTCTTCCTGAGGTGTCAGTACTCCAAGCAGAACCTGTGTAACAAGTCCATGGATCAAGAATTCAACCCACAGGCCATGTTTCTAGTCTGACCTAAAACATACCCAATCTCATAACCACAGTAGATTTCACCTATGGCCCATGAAAACCCTGCTGCCAGCCTAGGAGGCTTGTCTTTTTCTGTCTGTGCCATAGGGGTAGGTTTGACAGGGTACCTGAGAGTCACTTGGAAAGTTCTACTCTACCTTGTGCTGTTCCAGCCCCAGGCTTGTTATAGAAACGCACAGCAGGGCAAGACAGCTGC